AACTAGTTGCGGAAATTTGAACACACAGAACAAACAGAGATATGAAGAATAAATAAAGAGGCTTGAATAAAGACCACAGTCAACAGGCGGTCAAATGATGGGGGCAGCAGACAACTGTAGAGGAAACTTGTTAGCTAGGTAGGGCTCTAGTCCGCTGCCGGCTGGGTCCAAGTGACGATGGTCAGCTGGGGAATGCTATGTTGCTAGGAGTACCTCTCTACTCACAAGAACAAGTGATGGTGATATGATATGAAAGATCGACTGACCCTGGTTGACAGCGATGTTGAACGAGTCCAAAGAAATGATCTCCTCCTCTGGAATTCGACCGATCCAGAGCTTTCCGCGTGTGGCATATCTCCCTGAGTAAGGTTCCAAGTCAGTAAGGTACCTACTGATGCTGCCCGGGAAACGTGCAGGATCAGCGCTAACTTCCAACCAACCATACTAAGGCGAAGTGGTACGGAGTAGATAAACTAAATCATCATCTAGGTAGTCTAGCAGCTCTCTTTTATTGTCGCACTCCAATTAGCTGGACTCGTTAGGTAGATATGAAGGAATCGTCAAGTTCTGTTTGTTTCACTTGTTTCTGGCGTTATTGTCATTCATACGTATATACTGCCACGATTTGTGTATCCACACCTAAGTCGGAGCCCAACCGATGGTTTGAACAATCCATGGCAACACATTCATCCATAAAGTCTTTAATTTCTGTATTATTATCTAGAGTAATTGGCCGCAATCAGATAATGACAGCATAGTACATGCGCCCTCTCATACAATTATCACTTGCTACTTCAAAAATGTCTAGCGAGGTAGCTGACCACGCGTCACCAAGTGGGTCGGACAGGCTTGATCTCAATAGCCTCGTCAGGCACATTGGATCGCATTGATTTACACCAATCCATGTTCCAGTCAAGTAACTATGCCAAAATTATCGAGCCTTTCCATCTGCAGACATTCGCTGCAAAGCTTTGAAGGCACTGGAGATCGCCTTGATACTCTGAGAAAGATAATCTGTGACAGAGATGAGTATGTATCGGCCTCAACGCCCGGGGCTTGGAACTTACAGAATGGGATAACAATCCAGATGAAGTTCATGAGAAAATAGTAGATCCAAAAGTAGTACGCTTCAGGTCGGCAGTAAGACCGTCCATGGGCATAGTGATCGTATAAGCTCGTGGCATAGTACAATGTATCACCGTACAGATGGCTCATGCAGACAATCAGCTGTAGTGGATGACGGAGTGAATGTTGGTTGAGGATTAGGTATGATACGAAGAAGCACAGAGGGCCCCAGATGAGCTGTTAGCCATGGTCAGTCGTCCTGAATCAGAGAGCCTCGCCTGCGTAGTATGTATCATGGCACGTACCACTGTCATCGTCTCCAGGCACAGAACCAACGTGTCCGATGTCATATATCTCGAGTCAGATAGCGAATATTCCTTCCACATCTGACCGAGGAAGTCCTGCGCAGAAGCCATGTGGGCATGGTGAATTATGAAGTAGCCTTCAAAAAAGCAATGTATTGTCCCGGCTGCTTGAGCGGTTAGAAGGCCACTGTTCAATTATATGCATGGGTTAGAAGTAGGGACCTTACAGAGAACAAACCACAGAATAGCAAAGCGGTCTGTCTTTGGCAGACTTGGTCGTAAGAAGCTGATCCAAGTCAAAGTTCCTCCTAGAATGACTGAGGTCGCGATACTGGAGGTAGCGAGGAGGCGCTGCATTGAAGTCTCATTGGGAGCATATTCCTTAATATGCGCATCCAAAGGATAATAAGGATGAGAAGAGACCTGACTACTCATAATTGCAGAGGAGTCAATGCGCGAAGAAATTGACCTTGTCTTCCGGTGTGGGATAAATGGTGGACTGCTGTGAGAGCTTGAAAGCAAGGATGGATATTCTGGCAACGTCTGGTTTTGTATATTCACTTCATGTTCATTCACAGCCTATGATCAAACAGCCGCAAAAATCACCTGGCTTTGGAATCCCTGAAGAAACAGTCTGATCCTAGATGCTGAGCCCTTTCATGAACTTCTAACTAGATATACCAGGTCCACCAGCATAAACAACTGGTGGATGCTCCCACTTACTCAACATGGTTAGCCTTAATTCCTCAGGCAGCAACACCTCCTCGGGTTTCTCCGCAACGTAACAGGGTGCCCACTCTGTTCTTGAATCGCGCTTAATCCTTCATCAACCACTATAATTTGTCAGTCCTTTCAATCACTTCATGGAGCCTGGAAGCTCCTTGAACAAAGCGCATTGTTCCCATGGCTCCTGGTCCTTTTAGGAGAAAGCCTCTGGGGCTCGATGTACCCCGCAACCCTACTCCTGACTCGCCGCCTGGTATTGCGGCGCTATTCGTCATCCGCTTCGATATCAAGGCTGGGTGAGCTTTACCATCAGCTTGCTTGTTTCAGTGCAAATATGTGGCCTATGGCGACTGACTACGAACAATGACCTAGATACGTCATCTCATGGAAACGTACCATTCCTGGAGGTAAGTGATAGTTATCATCGAGCAGTAGGAGCCACTGAAACTGACGTATCCGGGTCTCTAGTCGAGATAGAAGGAGTTGTCGAATACAAGTCGCTTCCATCGGGTCTCCATAATGTCTCTGAGGATCTAGTGTACGCTGGCGACCCGATTGATCGCCTTCTATGTGCTAATCGATTGTCTTTGCGTAGATATTTCGTCCATGAAAAGTATGCCGGTATCAGTTMATTCGTCAACCAACCCGCGGATGAAGCAGAGCGCAATGCGCAGATGTTTGCCGTGGGGGTTCTGGTCCCCCTGAGTTTTGGTAGACTCGGGAAGAGTTGGAGGCACGCTCCAAGGCTAAAGGAATTGGCAGGGTGGGTGAGATCTTTTATTCCTCGCAGTACTGTCTGACATGCTTCATGCAGGATCTATGCCAAGGATATGACAAATACGCAACCTTTGTCGGACTACTGGGATAACTTTGAGATACGTGTGAACGATGCATCGACCATATCTGCTGATTCTCCTCTGGAATCACCTGTCGGCCTCCGGTTCAGAGACCGACCGGACAGCTTACAGCGTAATCGCGCATTCAGCGACGCAATAGTACTGGAAGCGTCCAGGCCGGCCCTAACGCCTTTCCATCCAGCGTCGTCACTTCCCGAATTTCTTGACTCTTTCGGTCCTTTGATATTCCCATTGTACAGAGCAGCATTATTACGCAAGCGTATTCTTTTCATGGCCGAGGCGCCCGTCCATATACCCTGTAACTATGGTAAATGAATCCCCCCCCCTTTGTTGCCCGCATGCCTTGAGCGGTCCTTGCTAACAAACGCAGTATATGATTTGTCGCTGTTAGCATCGCTTCCAAATTACCTTCTTCCACTTCTTCCACCTGGCGGTTCACTTCCTCCCCGACCTCGCCCGCTGTTCAATATCGGTATCCACGATATACCCTACCTTTCATCCTTCGTGAACGTCTCCGTCACGACTGAGCCCGATGCGGCTTGGATAGCCTGCAGCACAGACAGTGTGCTGAGCATGAAAAGCGAGCTCTTCGACGTCCTGGTTACTCTGCCTCCGGCACATGCCCGGAGCGCGGCCCAAAAAGTCTTCCCTAAAATCTCCGTCTTGCCTAACCGAAAAGCGCAGCATAACTCGTCCCAAGCAATCTACCTGAAAGCCACACAGCGCGACGCGCGTCGCTACACCATCCTTCGTAAGGGCTTACGCCACGTCTCCTGCGATGACACTGCATCTGGTGAAGACGAGGACTCCGATGCTGCGTCGACATACTCATCCAGTCCGGTGGTCGAGCCCCTGTCGTGGACACGTCTAGCCTACACATCCTTCATCTGGTGGGCATCCGCAGGCGAGAAGCGGGAAGGACTTACGGAAGAAGAGGAAGAAGAGCACCAAATGGAGCAAGACACGCGGCTCCTAGCCAGCGTGGAAGCCATGCCGACGCCGTCCTCGGGATCTCTTGGCCGCCATTCCATGCAAGCGGAGGATGCTTCGCAACCTCCCGAAATCGCACTGGTCGCCTACTTCCGTCGCCTGACGACCCAGCTCTTTGTTACGTTGTCGGACGTGATTGCCCGTCAGGATAGTGGAAACGAGGAACAGGATGAGGATATCGGCGCCCCGTATGAGGATGAACCGGAGGAAGCGGACGCCGAACCCTCCATTTCCGTTGGCAGGGAAGATTCGCAGGGAGACGACTCGGAACGCCCCTTACTGCCATCTGCCGCCAAATCTTCACCTGAGGATGACGAGCCGGTGACTATCACCTCCGAGGATATGACGGAGATGGGCCTCGACGTGTGGAGCGCTTCCGACCGTGTCTTTGTCGAGGAGTTGGTGCAGTCATGGTGGGGTCGCAAAGCCTACATTGATAGTGCGCGCATTAAGTGCTGTGGGATTTCGATTGTCTGATGAGGCGGTTGACGACTGTCAATATTCGCCTTGTCATGGTAAATATCCATTTGCATTTTGATATATGTACAACGTTAACCTCAACGGACATGTTCGGAACTTCAAATGAGGGAGAGGGATCTCATTCATAGTATTTGGTCGGGTTCGTAAAAATTATGTGCTGGTAATCATATAGCCACTGAAGCAGGATTCTATGTACCATAAATATGCTTGACAAAAGAAAATGGGGAGATCATGCAAATCTCAGAATGAATGTGAGGGTGACATGCAAGTAGAGCTCCGCTGAAACATAAGCAAACAAAAAGAGCATTGTCCTTTGCACCCCAAGTATCGTAAGCCGTCGTTATATACCCGCAGAAGAAGTCCAAACTCGGTCAGCCCGTAGTGATCCAAAAGAAAAAATAGTACTCCCCCAAAGCAAGAAAGCTCCTTTTAATTAGCCCGAGAAAACTCAAAATCAAACGCCAGCTCATTCAGACATCAGGGTATCAAACGAAGATCGGTCAACAATCGACAACAGCTCAACTATGATGTGCCTCAGATACCAATATAGTCTGTTCACGTCACGGAGGAAAGAGGTTTACCGGCGGAACATCCTGACCGGAGCGCTTAGATCTCGTCGGACAGCCTTATCCCCGTCAGTTCTCACTGCCGAGTTCTGAACGGCAGGGATTCTTTGCGCACCCCGACCCGGTGTGACACCCCCTCCTCCGGAGTGAAGGGTGGCCTCATTTGCACTGACGGATCTTTTCACTGTATTAGTCTTCCCTCTTCGTGCTCGAATTTGCGCTAGAGCTTGTTCTCTATCGATGGACGTTCCAGGCAGGGGAACAGAATGAGGAGCGAGCGCACCATCTGATTCTGTAGGCGCATTGCGATTATCTTCAATGCTGTACGGTGGCGAAGGAGAATCCCAAGGGACTCTGATATGAGTTGGCGATGGTTGGAGACCAGGAGCGAAAGGTTGGACTGAGTCTTCTTTAACTTGCACCATGGGCTCAAAGGACGTCTCGTGCCGATTAACATGCCTTTCTTCGAAAGGACTAACGAGCAACTGCTGCGCTGACAGGCTTTCGCGGGAGATCGACGATTCGAGCCCGCTTAAAGCTGTGCCTTGGGGTTGCTTAGGAGGCGATCGAACTGGAGACGGGACTGATTTGAAAGTTCCCGTCACGGGCGAGAAAGTTATCAAGAGTTCCTCTGGTTCTTCTTGAGGCCTTGCCTGCTCCGTAGGCCCAGACCCCTGCGACGGGTTGCCAAAGTGTGAATGATGTTGGGCTTTAGGGCCACGGATGTCATGGCGGTCTTCTTCGATGATGTTTTCAATCTTGTCTTGCGCTACGACATCTTCGCGGGTTGCCGCATGGACTTGATTGGTCTGTTCCTCTTCTTCTGCAAGCCTGCAGGAGCATCGTTTGAATTCACATTCCATTCTCAAAAACTCAATCATGTCCTCGGCATCGAGTCTCATTTTTCTCTCATGCTTGAGCGCTTCTTCCAGGTCATCGATTATCTCTTGCTTAGTGTTTGTGGATAGTGTATTTTGATCACCTTGCCGAGGTGTCACATCCGAAAGTCTTAGTCTCTTTGGAGGAGTGTCGTGCGCGGTGGCCTGATCTGTAGATTCCACAAGCGGTGAGTGCGTCGAATCCTCGGCAGGCCGTTTTGGTCTGCGAGGTGCCGGGGTGAGCATAAATGCGAGATCTCCTTCCGCCAGCGACAGTCTTCCGATATTGTCGTTACCCATTTCTTTTGCTCGGGCCTCAAGGCTGTCTGAGCGACGATTGGCTTCAACATTGCGCAAGCGTCCTTTAAGAACTTCCAGCTCTTCAGTCAAGCCAGCAAGCGCGTATGCTCGCTCAAATGCCTCTTGCTTTGCTTGCTCCTTCGCTGCTCGCTCGCAGAGAACGTCCTCTTTCAATCCTTTGGTTTCCGACCTTGCGTGTTTCAGCTCCTCCTGCAATTTTACCAGAGCGGATCCCGCGCGAAAAGCCTCTTTCCTTGCCTTCCTAATCTCTTTTTCAAAGACTGATCGTTCGTGCGCCTGTCGTTCTTTGGCTGCTTGAAGTTCTTCTAGCAATGATTCGAGTCGCTCGCTTATGCGACGTTCTCGTGATTGTGCCTCGGAAAGCTGAGCGGAGACACTAGCTAGAGCAGATTCTGCCTCTTCGCGACCGAGTAGTGCTCTCTGAAGCGCTGCCGAAGTACCAGATGATGTTGATGGCTGTGGTGTATTTGCCGGGCTGTTTCCACGAGACAGATTGTTCAAGTACGCTACTCTTGCCTGAACGTCGGACATCCCCCTTGTCTTCTTTCGTTGCTGTATATCCAGGATATCCGATTGCCGCGATGGTGAGCTAGGAATGGTCTGTTGTTGATTCATCCGCTCAGGCGACAGTGGGTGGAGTATTTTCGTAGGGCTGGACAGAATAGGGGAGTCCATCGCGAATAGCTGCTGATGGGTGTCAGACCAAAGGTGATACGGTCCGTCTGGTGCTAATCAAGCATGACAATCGCTGAAAGATTTGCGATTGTAGGGTATCGCGGTGGAGGTGTGCTTGGGTTGAAACTTGGATCTGATTGTCAGGCCTTTATCGAACTGACGCACCCCCAACACACACACCAAACATGTTTGTTCAGTTCTTGCCTCATCTGGTAAGCGTCAGGTGACTGTTGCTCTGGACAACAAATCTATACTCTATTAGGCATATGGGTCTCACGTGTTTGATAAGGACGCGCTAAGCTTGATCAGGCATCCAGCTCCAGATAGTCTGTGCTTCATGATGCGATAACAGTTTGAGTCTTTCAGATATCTCCCTGCGGGGTTTCTTCAGGATTTTATGTTATTCTATCATGTCTGTTCTGCCTTCTCTCTTCGAAGCCTGAATGGATTATCTGAATTTGACTTGTATGTACCACTATGCACTCATTCTCACTTGTCATTGAATGACGTAGAATCGCCTACACTCAAGCCAACCTATTGCTCACTAGCACAGCACATACCTCTCTAGAATAACCGCAAAATGCATGAAATTATTACGCTACAACTGGGGCAACGAGCAAATTACTTGGCTACACATTTTTGGAATCTTCAGGTTAGCAGAGTCTTTTCTCCCTGTTGCTGTATTTTGACCTTCAACTCAAGCCTTCAAGGAATCATACTTCACGTACGGTGAAGCGGAAGAAACACTAATCGACCATGATGTCCACTTTCGACCCGGCATTGGGGCGGATGGGTCGGAAACTTACACTCCGAGGACGCTGATTTATGACTTGAAAGGTGCTTTTGGGTCCCTACGCAAGCATAACGCCCTCTATGAGTTGACTACAGATGCCGATTCCGGGCAAGGCTTATGGTAAGGTCGCTTTTTTCCGCTCCTCTGCATATTCAGAGACCCCCGAATAGGGCTCACCGTGAAATTTTTGGTTCCAGGGACGGAAAAGAAGTCATACAGCGACAAACACCAATCATTCAGAGCGAGTATCAAAAGCACTTGGAGCAAGGGCTTCCGGCCCCTGTTCTCTCCTCCGATACCGTGCGCTACTGGTCAGATTATAACCGATTGTTCTATCATCCTCGTTCAATAGTGCAGCTCAATGATTACGAGTTGAATTCAAAGATTATGCCTTTCGAAGACTGGAGTGTTGGGGAAGATCTGTTTGGAGAACTGGACAAAGAGCATGACCTACTCGACCGAGACTTGAGACCTTTTGCAGAAGAATGCGATCAATTGCGCGCCCTCCAAATATTTACAAGCTCCGATGATGCTTGGGGTGGATTTGCCGCAAAATATGTGGATAGGCTAAGAGATGAGTTTGGTAAAAAAGCTGTTTGGGTATGGGCTATCGAAGGTGGTAACAAGGTTCAAAGAGTGAGTCTCTTCCCTACTAGATGTTTTGACTGAAACTCATCCCATTTGTTCCATGCAGCACAACCAACTTAAGCGCGATATGAACAAAGCACGATCTATACACTCTATCTCCCCACAGTCGTCGCTGTACGTGCCTATTCTAGACCCACCGACTCACCTCCCCAAGACAATTACCCTCGACACTCAGTCGGCATGGCAGACTTCAGCACTAATCAGCACTGCGATGGAAACGGCGACGCTTCCCACCCGTCTTCGTTCTTATAAGGATTTTGAGACGTCTCTAGCGGGAGAAGATGGCACGCACAAGATTTTTGAGCTGCAATCTAAAATACTGTCTGAGGACATGAGCAATCATACACAACCCATTCAATTTCAAATTCCAGGAGATCGGGGGACGCAAGCATCGACTGGGGAATCCGTAAAAGTTAGAACAGAGTTCGACTTGGACTTCTCATATGATGATCCGAACAACGGTGATTCGCATATATTCAATCAACTTCAAGTTGGCCGTGGATATAGTCCTGAGAAAGAGGTGTCCGAGTCAAGGGAGGATCTTGGATTAAAGCGCAAGGAACGCTTTTATAACTCTGAACCAATGCTCGAAAGGTGAGTGAAGCCGCTACGCAATTAATAGAGATTTTATAATGCTAATCGACAACGATAACATAGCTTTTATATCCCATTAGCATTCCCTATTTTGGACAGCTCTCCTCGCAACATGTTCTCAATGAAGCATAAGGACGCAAGCATCAACGTCCTTGCAGCGCTGACTGCTTCATCGCGAACAGCAACAAAGCTCAAGGCTATGGAAGCCGTGGCTGGGCGGGTTATCGGAATTGATGAACGAGAGAACCTCGTTAATGGCCTGGGAGAAATTCGTGAATCTTATGAGATAGGATGGATGAGTGATTCAGATTTCGATGACGACTGAGCAGCATAGGTCACCTTTGGAACCATGAACCGATGATCTTGGTTGAGCACAACTACTAGATACATGAAGAATAATGAAACAGAAGGAGTCAGAAAGATCGAATCACATAGTCCAATGTAGAAAGCCTGGACCCTGCGAAGTTGGTGCCGATCTTCTGGGAAAAAAATGCAAACTTGCTGAATCGAGTATGTTTGCATCACATACCTCCAAACGTGTCCTTATCGAGGTCCGCAACAACAATTTGGGGCTCTTCAATTTTCGCAAACCCATTCTTCATGCTTACTGCCAGGTGGCCATTTGTATAGGGTTTGGCTGCACTCTTGATGGCTTCCTCTACTTAATGACTTGTAAGTCTGCCTGCCTCCCCAAGCCCAATCCGCTCACACCGGGCCGACGTATGACCATTTCCTGAAGTTCACGACAAGCTCCACTACCGTGATTCGTGATACTTGAATGTACAGCCCGTTTTTGCATCGTTCCGTCTTTCGATAATTGCTAGGGGAAGCTTTTGAGGGACTGTTGTTGTCTATCTGTCTTTTCCCCTATTCGTATCTGCTCATTCGAGGTATGCTCCTAGACTCTTCCCTCTCAGATGCTCGATACATTGTCTGACCTCTATTATTTCGACAGCAATACTCCCAAGATGGCACCTCCTGGATATCGATTAAGAGCATTATCACTTTCCCCAATCTTCTCCTTCCTCGTCCTTCCCTTTCTGCTCTTTTTCCTGAGCTTCCCGGTTCCTACCTCCGCTGCTGGATCAGCAGTTCTCGGTGTCGACGTTGGTACCGAGTATATCAAGGCCGCGCTTGTCAAACCTGGCATTCCACTTGAGATTGTCCTCACCAAAGACTCGAAACGAAAGGAGTCGGCAGCTGTTGCGTTCAAACCCACAAGAGAAAGCAATGCCCCATTCCCTGAGAGATTCTACGGCGGTGACGCACTAGCCCTGGCGGCCCGTTATCCCGACGATGTTTACGCAAACCTCAAGTCCTTGCTCGGAGTTCGTTTTGACAATGGCGACAATGAGATGGTTAAGACCTTTCATAGCCGATATCCCGCCTTGAAATTGGAAGCTGCCCCTGGTGAGCGGGGTACGGTTGGACTGCGCAGCAATAGGCTGGGTGAGGGTGAAAGAAAAGATGCGTTCCTTGTTGAGGAGCTCTTAGCCATGCAGCTGAAGCAGATCAAGAGCAATGCCGACAGTCTGGCCGGAAAGGGATCTGACGTCAGGGACGTGATCATTACATATCCCTCGTTCTACACCGCTGAAGAAAAGAGAAGCTTAGAATTGGCAGCGGAATTGGCAGGTTTGAAAGTCGACGCTCTTATCAGTGATAACCTTGCTGTCGGCCTGAACTACGCCACCAGCCGTACGTTCCCCAGCGTCTCCGAAGGTCAGAGACCTGAGTATCATATTGTCTATGACATGGGAGCCGGATCCACCACGGCCAGTGTCATGCGCTTCCAAAGTCGTGCAGTGAAGGATGTTGGGAAATTTAACAAGACTGTACAAGAAGTTCAGGTCTTGGGGACCGGCTGGGACAGGACACTTGGAGGAGATTCTCTGAACGATCTTATAGTGCAGGACATGATCGCAAATCTGGCCGAAGATAAGAAATTGAACGGCCGCGTAACTCCCGCCGAAATCCAGGCGCATGGTAAAACCATGGCAAGGCTTTGGAAGGACGCTGAGAAGGTTCGCCAAGTGTTGAGCGCTAACACCGAGACGGGCGCCAGTTTTGAGAGTCTTTATGAGGAAGACTTGAATTTCAAATATCGTATCACCCGATCGAAGTTCGAGGACCTTGCTGCGGATTACATCGCTCGTCTCGGAGGACCTATTGAGCGATCTCTGGCCGCGGCTGGGCTACAGCTCAGTGACGTCGACTCTATTATTCTCCACGGTGGCGCTATCCGCACACCGTTCGTACAGAAGGAGCTCGAACACATCGCTGGATCTTCTGACAAGATCCGAACAAGCGTGAACGCTGATGAGGCAGCGGTATTTGGTGCTGCATTCAAGGGAGCTGCTCTGAGCCCCAGTTTCCGCGTCAAAGATATTAGAGCCAGCGATATCTCGAGTTACGCTGTTTTGCTCAAGTGGGCCTCAGAGACCAAGGAAAGACAGCAGAAGCTCTTTACTCCGACTTCCCAAGTTGGGCCCGAGAAACAAGTTACAATGAAGAATCTGGACGATTTTGAGTTCAGCTTCTATCAACAAATTCCCACCGGCGATGAGGTCGTCGAGTCGCCGGTCCTCCGTGTGCAGACTCAGAATCTAACTGCTTCTGTCTCCCAGCTGAAAGAGAAGTTCGGTTGCTCGCCAGCCAATATCACTACGAAGTTTTCTATGCGTCTCAGCCCCGTTGACGGACTTCCAGAAGTTACGGGAGGATCCGTTAGTTGTGAAGTGGAGAGCGTAAAGAAGGGAAGCGTCGTTGAAGATGTGAAGGGTTTCTTCGGGCTTGGGTCCAAGAAGGGTGAACAGGCACCTCTCGGTGAAGAAGGAGAGCCCACGGAGTCAATTACACTGGAAGCAGAAGAACCCCAAGTTTCGACCACATCCTCTGCTGCTGAAGCTTCTACAACGTCCGCCAAGGAAACCAAGAAGGCTGCACCCCAGATGAAAGTTGAACTGATTCCCCTCAGCTTCACGGCCTCGCCTCTTGGCACTCCCCCGCCATCGGATAGCGAAATGACTCGTATTCAGACTCGTCTGTCTGCCTTCGATGCTTCAGATCGGGACCGTATTCTGCGCGAGGAAGCTCTTAATGAATTGGAGTCTTTTATCTACCGGAGCCGGGATCTGGCTGACGATGAGGAATTTGTCAAAGCGCTCAAAGCCGATCAGCTGGCCGAACTCCAGGAGAAAACCGGCTCTGCCAGCGACTGGCTCTATGGCGATGGTGCTGACGCTACAACGTCAGAGTTCCGGGCCAAACTTAAGTCTCTGAAGGATATCGTCAACCCTGCTCTGAAGAGGAAACAGGAGAATGCGAATCGGCCGGCTCAGGTCCAGCTTCTGCAAGACTTGTTGAAGAACTCGAAGACCATTCTTGACATTTTGCAGAAGCAGATTGAACAAGACGAAGAGCTCTACTCCTCGAGTCTCTCTAGTGCAACCCCCACCCAGTCCACGGAGACCTCATGTTCCACAACTACCTCGACAACATCTTCCAGCGAGTCGTCTTCGACGACGGCCGATCCTCTCGATGATCTCGAGAAGGACCCATACACGACGTCCACATCCGAGACTACCTCGACCACCACAACCCCTAAACCCGCCGGTCCCAAGTACTCAATCTTCCATCCCTCCGACCTCTCCAGCCTCACCAAGATCTACGAGTCCACAAATACCTGGCTCGAAACCCAGCTCGGCCTCCAGGAGAAGCTGACCGAGTCCGACGACCCAGCTTTGACAATGGCAGAGATCGACACTCGTCTCAAGGAACTGGAACGGACCATGAACCGCATCTATGAGAAGATGGGCGCAGCCGCAGCCAGGTCTGGTAAATCATCCGGGGACCAGTCGAAGGAGAACGGCAAGAGCAATGCCCAGAAGCCCAAGAAGGACAAGGGGAAGAAGGAGAAGGCCGAGAAGGCCAAGGCTCCTCCCAAGGACGAATTGTAAACAAAATATGTATCTGATTAATGATTTGTATTAGACACTTAAATACACCTGCCTGCAGCAAAACGGTAGAATGTGGCTTTGAGCATTTAGTCGATTTACTGTTACTCAAGATCTCGTGTCCAGGACTGTCTTGACCATTTTTCAATGGAATAGATGAAGGTTACAATTAGAATGACTTGTCAAGGCAAGCTTGTGCATTAATTGAAGCAAAATAGCTCGCTGTTATACAGTAAGATTTGTCAAAGCGACTATTCCGTAAGATACATGCCACATTTCGGCTCGAGTGGAACACAGCAAAGGCTTCCCGAGAGCCTAGGGTATTTGTACATCCATTGCCTAGAATCATCCCAGACAAGCAGAAACAAAGAATGCGACAAGGGCAAATGTGTGACTAAACATATACAGAGAAACGAAAATAAGATGAGGGAAGAACTTCGACAGCCCCTGCCGCAGGCTCCTAAATAAATCACTGAAACCAGCCCAGTGTTGAGAAGCATCCTCGCGCCATTCTGGACAACGGATGATGTATCGGAACAAACCGATTGAACCTTCTGAACCATGATGAGGACATCAGGTAAATGTGTCATGCCCCTCCCATTTCAACCTCACCTCCACCCATTCGACCAGGCAAGTAATCGATATCAACCTCTTCCCGCCTACGGAGGAACACCGGCTCTTCGAAGTCATCGGCTTCCATAGTCCCTTGTTGAATGGCTTGGTTTTGTAACGCAACGAATCGCCGCCTTTGGTGTCCCAGGCTTGGACAGAGGATGGTTCGACCAGGTATGGGGTCTGTAGTTGCAAATGCATTGTGTTCAAATTCACTGGCGTATTCATCCGCGTCATCAGGGTCATAGGATCGTTTCTGGCTATTGTTGGCCGAGTAAACGGACTCTTGACTGCTGGGAGGAAGCGAGAAGGCATCACCGTCGTCAGTGACGATGTCGACGTTATAGTCCCTTGTGTCGGACAGCCGATAGACTGGATTAGAGTGAGGCTGGATAGTGTAGTCGCATGATTTGGAGAGGCCGCAGAAAGGAGCAAGTTCCGGGCGAATGGTGGGACAGCCTCTACCGGCGGAATGTTCATGCTTTGCGGAGACAGTGATGGTACTGGTAGGTGCATCGAACATCTTCACACCCTTCGTCTTGTAACCTTCAGCGACTGATTTGCGGACGCGCATGCCGACAGAGAGGAGAGAGGACTGGATTTTGGCGGGGAGAATGGGGTGGGGAGAATGGGTAGCGGCGGCATAGTGGCTGTGAGAAAGATGCGGGCTGCATGCAGCGTCTGTGCCATTCGAATCCGACACAGCTGGAGAGAAGAAAGTTGTAATAGGCGGTTGGAATCGTCTGCGCTTGGACTCTAGGTTGCTGTTCTGCGCGAGAGACATCTTGATTGGAATACGGTGATTGATCTAGAGAATGAAGGCAAGTAGTGGAGTGGAGAGGTTCGGCAGTCAATGCTGCTCTGTAGAGATACAGTGACCAATAGAAGTAGGTTGATTGTCAGAGAAATCAGCAAGAGATTTCAAAGAGGCTTAGGGGAAGAGCGAGGCATGACTGGCATGCAATAATACAATGAAGCTGGAGATTAAGAGAGGATGAGGTCCCAGAAAGTCAGTGGCTGGGATTGGCGGGACGCGGAGTCGCGTTTCACGTGAGAAACGCGTCCTGCTGGCGCAGATCAGTAGTATATCCGCTTTGGGACAGCGATAGGGCTCGGGGTTGGCTAGGCTTGTCCATTGACCTTTAGACTGGAACAGATACTCTGAGCATGGATAGAGATACGAAGCAGAGCTGATACTCAAGAGATGTACTTCGCCTACCCAACGAAAACGAAAATAACTGATATGGTGGGCGGAAGCATCTCTTGAATCCGGATAACCCAGATCGCGAAAACTTCAAGTCTAACATAGTAGATCAAACAATGGTATCTAAACTTTTTTACCGTCTTTAAGTCCTCTCCCCTATGTTATTCTATATATACTATGAGCCGGTGTTTCCTCTCCTACCACCACGCCTTTGCCGTTCCTGGTGAGCCCGCAAGACGTTTCGTGTTTCCACAAGACTTCTCTTGCCCTTGCTCTTCGCTTTTCCTAGAGTCATGAAGAGATTCTTTCTGCGCGCCTTCTCCTTGTTCGTAGTGCTCTTTCCCTGCGCTTCCTTGCGCTCCTTGCGTCGTGCAGTCACACTCTTGTACTCGGACCGATCCTTGCCTTCCTTAGCATGAGCGATCCGCTCTTCGCGTGTTGCTTTGCCAGCAGACAGAGCTGCCAGACCCTCAATCTCTGCGGCTGTGAGCGGATCATCCGCATGACGAGAAGGCTCATTGTTCTTGTCAGAGCGGAGTCTCTTTGGAAGTAAGGAATTGACGGCCGCTTCGTTGCGCAGCTCTGCAAGTTTGGCCAGGTCGGCTGGCGTGAGAATTCGAGTCGTCGCAAGATTCGTCTTCTTTGCAGTCTCTGACTCGGCCTTGTCCTCTTCCTGTTCGCCTTGCTTGGTCTTCTTCGCAGGCGGGGAATCGTCATCATCTGAGTCGCTCAGCTCGATTTCCGCATCGCTCTGCACGTCAATCCATCCACCGGAATCATCGCTATCCTCGTCGTCTTCAACGTTCCACTTATCCCAGGCCGCATCGTCTTCTGCCTCGTCGTCCTCATCGTCTTCAGCATCGGAGGGCAGACCCTTCTCGATTCTCCGTCTCCGGCGCTCTTCCTCCTTCCACTTCTCTAGCAACTCAAGACCTTCGATTTCGCCAGTCTGTTGCTCACCGAAACGACGCTCCTTCTTCTCTCCAGCCCGTAAGCTCATAGAAGCCTCCTTACCGCGGTCCCGTCTCTTGAGCATGTCCGCGCCGACATCTCTGTACAGACTAAGTAATCCTCTGGCAGCCATAACCACACCCTTGTCTTTACTCTTCCTGTACATAACGAGATCCTGCAACAAGGTTTCGTTCATCGCCAAGGGCTGTCGGGCACAAATCTCTCGAATGGCATTGAGACCAGCCGTAGCCACCTCCGACGATGCTGCTTCAGAGACAAACTCATTTGCGATCTTCTGCACAAGAGGCTCCAGAACATCAGGCGGAACCAAGTCGTGTGATGCTTGAGCAAGGGAAGCCAGGAACGATGTCACGGAGGCCTGACGTGGCGTGAGATATTTCTGAAAGTAAGAGTAGAGATGCATGATATGCAGTCTGTGCAATCCGACGAGACGAGAGACAAGTTGTAGAACCAGGAGCTTCTGCTCCAAGTTCAAGTTCGACTTCGTATTCTGAAGGTGTTTCGCGAATAACGCCTCGGCGAATCCTTGGGGATCGTGCAGAAGATGAAGGGCGGAAAAGTTCAGAGGATGCGGTTGGTTCTTCTTGCGTTCTCGCTTCTTGACTACGGCTTTTGCCTTCTCAACAGCGCGTGACTTCTTTCGGGTCTTCTTGTTAATCCCAACCTGATGCTTCACTCTTCCGAGGTCGATGGTCTCCTCATCACTGCTCTCGTCTTCCATCTCTTCTCGTTCCTTGTCGCCGCCCAAGAAGAAACGAACACCACCAACTATCACTTTCTCATTCTCTGACAGACTAGCCTCCTTCATGACTTCAACGGCCTTAGCATCGGTCCAGATCTGCCGTTTCCATAGCTCGCGCGTGAGCTTGATAGCCCACAAGCCTTTGGAAGAGGTGCGGTCTGACGTAACCAAGTTGAACAAGACGGTCTGCATAGTCCGGTTAAGCTTGTGATTCGTCGTTTTTGCGTTTGATGAGCGCAGGTCCATGAGAATCTTTTGGAAAATCAAAGCTCGAAGAGTTTTGCTCGGTGTTGAGATAAGAATAGGGAACAATGTCTGTAGCAGTCTAGATATATGAAATAGTCGGATTAGTTCAACATCTCCGGGTGAGCACAGCATTGTTCAATTTCACTTACGTCGCAGAATCGAGTAATTCCTTCTTTCGAAGTAGCACTAAACTTCCGACAATCTTTTCTCGCAGTTCGGGTTCCAGAACCAGATGGTGCTGGGTAAGGATATCAATGAGCTGCTGGGGAAAGTCCTTCGTTATAGTTGGATAGCAATCGGCAACATGAGCGATAAAATCAATCAATTCTCGCAGAGAAATGATTCCGGTGTCGGTGGCAGCCGTTGGCGCTGCCATGAAAATCTCTCGATGACTCTCATATTGGTAGTGCTGGGCCCGAAAGTCCTCGATATACGACCTGGACAGCGCGCGCTCATGTTAACGGCCTGTGAAAACCAGAAGAATACTAGAATATCGCGCGCAAGCAACTCACTTTGGATCTCTGCGAATTTTATGCTGTAGATTGGGCCTGGTAACTCAGACAAAGACTGTTAGTGGCGAGCGAAACTTTTCTCGGAGTTCGATAGCTGTAGATTTGGGGGGGGGAAAAAGGGAACTTACAGGTCAGCTTCGACCTTTTCCAAGGCCCCCAACTTCCGTTTCACCATGATCTCGAATTATTGCCTGATAATTCGAGCGTTGCAGGTTAGGGAAGCGGCGGTGGTGGTGGTTGGGATATTGATAAGTCAAAACTCTGAACTTTTTTTTTCTCCATAAGCGGCAAACTCCGCATCGCGGCCTACACATTAACTTTTAGACGTACAGCTTTAATTATTTCTGTGCATGAGATGACATGAACTACATGACGATGATCTACTGACTACGGACTTAGTCGACAGGTTAAAGTACTGCCCACCAGTTTCTCCTATGATAAGTACCAAGCACTCACGGAGTCGGTAAACTTAAGACTAGAACGAGGTTTCTAAGGAAGAGAAGGGCAATCAACTTATTATGCCTGGAAGTTTTCATAATCGCACTCCAACTACTAAAGAAGAAAGCCGTCCGATTTCATTGATTTTTTTGGATCTCACTCCCTCCGTGACTGTCTTGAGGTATGTACAGTCGCGCAGATTCATGCAAATCGACTGAATCCTTAATGAAACCCCGTCCACTCCAGTAAACATAAAACCAGGAACAAACGGAGAACACGCCCAATCATTACCCCTTTACCGGTTGCTCTTGGCAACACGCTCGAGCTCGTCCTTCTTCTTGATGGCGTAAGAGTTGGAGCTTCCCTTGGCAGCGTTGATGAGCTCTTCAGCCAGGCACTCGGCAATGCTCTTGATGTTACGGAAAGAGGCCTCACGAGCACCGATGGTCAGGAGAGCGATGGCCTGGTTGACACGGCGGAGAGGAGAAACATCGACGGCCTGACGACGGACGGTACCAGCGGAACCGATACGAGTGCTGTCTTCACGAGGACCGCAGTTGACAATAGCGTCAACAGCGACCTGGAGGGGGTTCTGGTCGGTCATGATGTGGATCTGTGAAAGTAAAGACGAAGTATCAGTAATTTATCCCTGGCAAACTCGGTACACTCAATTGTCTGGCTGAGTTCCCGGTTCTCGCGGAAAATTGCACGTACGATCTCGAAAGAGTGGGCAACGATGCGGACAGCCATGAGCTTCTTGCCGTTGTTGCGACCGTTCATCATGAGAGAGTTGGTCAGGCGCTCAATGATGGGGCACTGAGCCTTGCGGAAACGCTTAGCGGCATAACGACCGGCAGTGTGAGGGATGTAGACGGGGTTGCGGATCTGGATGTAGTCGCTGTATTTGTGAAGCCGAGTCAGCAAATTTGCGTCTGTAAATCCCGATGCTGTCCAATGCATATATTCCCAGTTTTGTGTGCGCGGATATTTCCATTCTTGTACGAGTCGAATGTCTCCCATCGAAATTGGAACCCAACCCGACCAAATAAAATTTCCTCTCGCAGCACATCTGAGTCGCAGGGATTTTGGAATCAAAACCTACGTCAAAGAGATATCCCGGATCTCAACATCCTCGTAGCTCCACTTGTTGAACAGCTTGACGGTGCCCATCTCGGCAAGAGCGTCCTTAGGCAAAGCCTGGAAAGCCCCAGAGGGGTTTTCGACCTCGACTTCCCCGTGATCAGACATTGTGACGCCGTATGCACCTGTTGTCGAGGGAGGGATTCGTGAAGGTGGACGGACGGTGTCGTTGGGTGAACCTTCAATGTCGTCGATAGCAGTCGGTCCGCTGAAAAGGTTCGCTCGCAACAAGGAAAATCGAGGTGCGCCTCGCTTAGCACTGTGGGTGGGTTAGGGCAGGGCCGGCGCCAATCATCCCGCCGGTGTCATGTGACAAAAGTTTTGATGCTCCCGCTGATTTAATCCATATTAGGACTAGTTGCCTTCACTGCCATAATGCTACCTACTAAAGGTAAGCACGTAGTACGGTCATGCAATGTCTACTGAGGCAATGGTCTTTCAATACCAGGATGTGTGGGAGTTTGAGATCCCTTAAGCTGCACTTCTTGGATGGTGATATTGCACGACTGGGGTAACTCTTCATTGCCAACGAACGAGTGGTATGACTTTTTCGTACTCTTAACGCCCTCCAATTGGTAAGGTGGTATAATATCCGTCGTCATGGAAGACTGGGCTGTTGATCATCCCTTTCGGTTATCAGCCCTTATTCGACTTTGAGCAGCGGCATAGAATATGGAGAGAATCACTGCAATTGGGATCCATCATTCTATCTTTGTCTTCGACGATATTGATGCGTCATCCATGTCAGACAGTATTCCTATGTAGTTCGTTCATTCGAGGACCAAATTAGTCGTTGAAACGAGTTAAGATACAGTTGGAAACTTGCCATCACGAGTGATAGAAAGTGAACTTCGGCAACAAGTATACGCAGGCACGATACACCAATGTCTGTCAATTCCTTTCTTATCGTTCGTGATCTACATCCACTCACGCACCACAATCTAAGCATTTCAAGGACGGGAACAATTCCCCTCTCGTTTGTGGCGGTGCACATGGACAAGCCCGATCATTGGCTAGTTTGTTGTGTGCGCTTGGCCCTAGCACCCATGGCAGGTGACGTTGTGGCTAAGCAAAGCGCGGAGAAGGGGAAGAGGAGAGACACGCCAAGTTGATACAACCTGCCACAACTGGTTCTCCGTTCTGCTGCATAATCATCATCTTTGCAAGGGGCCCCCTATAAGACCTGGAGAAGGAATCCCAGTCGGCTACACCTTGGCCGCTCGTGTTGGAGACTTGACTGCTTTGTGAAGAAGATATGAACGACATCCCGCATCTCGTCATATGCGCACCCGAATGAGAGACGTCTTAATCTATTCTTACCAAGCGCTTCTGTGACCATGGCGGAGGAGAATCCCGAGCTCCAGGCCGCTTTGCGGGAGCTCGATAGAGAACTCGAGGTGTGTAATCAATATCAGTTGCTTTCCTCATCATGGAACTTGTACCAAATTGACTCGCACCGTATCATAATTTGTGGCTAATGCGCTAATTGGTGACTAGGAGGGGGATATCACTGAGAAAGGGTAAGCGACTCTCACCGTATGGATGCTATGACTGTCAATTACAATGAGACATGAGGCGATAGGAACTGTCATTGTCTGATCCTTCGCACTGACGACTAACTCTCCTGAAGTTACCAGAAACGGCGTACGCTACTCCTTTCGCAATTCCTTGGTCCGAACAAGCCGCTTGAGATCAACGCGTCTTCAGAAAGTCCGTCGTCGCCAATAAGCAACTCAAACAATGCTCCGCCGGCCATTCTCAGTGTCCGGCCCCCTACGGCGGATAGCGCGACCCGAAATGCATCTTCGCAATCCTTTGCACAGAATAACATACCTGGTAACGGAAGCTTCGGATACGACCGGCGAGTGAGCATGGGCACACAGGGCTCTATCCAAGATGATAGTGCGTTTCAATACAATAGAGATAGCATGGCATTACAGCCCCCCGAGCGGATGCCCTCCTCTACTTCATACGATTCCCTTTTCCTTCCGAAGCCGCAAGGGCCTCMAATCGCGCAGGAGGACTCCCGAACCGCAACACTCTTGAGCCAGAACTATGCCTTTAACCCTGGAGCTTCCGAGCATGTGGATGAATCCGCCGGAGCTTACGACATGACACCCGGCGCGGTCACGCGACAGTCGACGATGCTCGATTCCCAGCAAGCATACTTCTCTGACTTTGCGGGTCAGCAGCAGGGTGACTATAGAGACAGCTATGGCGGTGCATATCATCGCTACTCTCAATCAGACGCGTTTTCTCCAACCGCAAATATGGCACCGCCGTTAATTCCTGCCTCTGAGTTACCTCATGGGGCAACTATCAACCACCTGCTTCCCCTCGAGCCTCGCGATATACCTTTTGCGGTACACGACCCACACGACAAGAACACTCTAATGTCCAGTTTTGACAACATCCCTGCAGTACTTCGGCATCGCGCTCGAACACATCCTAAGCAGCCCGCTTACTGGGTCCTAGACCAGAAAGGCAAGGAAATTGCTTCCATCACCTGGGAGAAACTTGCCAGTCGCGCGGAGAAGGTTGCTCAAGTCGTCCGTGACAAGAGTAATTTGTACCGTGGTGACCGCGTGGCTCTGATTTACCGTGATTCAGAGATCATCGAGTTTGCTGTTGCCCTTATGGGATGCTTCATTGCTGGGGTCGTTGCTGTACCCATCAATAATCTCGAAGATTACACCAGTCTCAATCTGGTTCTCACCTCCACTCAAGCGCATCTTGCTTTAACAACTGAGAACAATCTCAAGAGTTTCCAGAGGGATATTACGACGCAGAAGCTGAACTGGCCCAGAGGGGTAGAATGGTGGAAGACCAATGAGTTCGGAAGCTATCACCCAAAGAGAAAAGATGATATTCCGGCCCTTGTGGTTCCCGACTTGGCTTACATTGAATTCTCACGGGCTCCTACTGGGGACATGCGCGGTGTAGTCATGAGCCACCGGACAATCATGCATCAAATGGCTTGTTTTAGCGCTATAATCGCAACTGTTCCTGGCTCAGGTAAAAGTGTCCGGCCGCATGGAGAGACCTTGATCAGCTATCTCGATCCAAGACAAGGCATAGGGATGATCCTTGGTGTCCTTCTTACTGTGTATGGTGGCCATACCACCGTCTGGCTTGAGGATCGAGCGGTCGAAACTCCAGGCTTGTACGCTCATTTGGTTACTAAGTATAGAGCCACACTCATGGCTGCGGATTACCCTGGGCTTAAGATCACTGCGTACAACTACCAGCAAGATCCAATGGCCACGCGTCACTTCAAGAAAAACTCTGAGCCTAACTTTGAAAATGTGAAGCTTTGTCTTATTGATACGTTGACTGTCGACGCTGAGTTTCATGAAATTCTGGCTGACAGATGGCTGCGGCCCATGAGAAACCCCAGAGCTCGGGAAATTGTGGCCCCAATGCTATGTTTGCCTGAACATGGCGGTATGGTGATCAGTGTTCGGGACTGGTTGGGAGGAGAAGAGCGTTTGGGCTGCCCTCTGACTCATGAGATGGATCCGGCCGAGCGTTCAGAAGCCACAGAAGCCAAAAAAGAGGAAAGAAAGTCCGAAAGCAACAGTGGTTTCGGTAGCAGCCTTCTGGGCGGCGGTGCGCGTGCTTCTGCTCCTGCTCCAAAAGAGCAGAACAAGAACGAGCTGGCCGAAGTACTTCTCGACAAAGAGGCCTTGAAAAGCAATGAGGTTGTGGTTTTGGCCATGGGCGAGGATGCTCGGAAGTATGCAGCGACCATGCCACATGCTGTGCGAGTTGGCTCTTTCGGCTACCCGATTCCTGATGCGACCCTTGCAGTTGTTGACCCGGAGACCAATTTGCTATGCACACCCAATGTGATCGGTGAGATATGGGTTGACTCACCATCTCTTTCTGGCGGTTTCTGGGCATTGCCCAAGCATACGGAAGCAATCTTCCACGCACGGCCTTATAAATTCGAAGAGGGTAATCCTACCCCTGTGCTGGTGGAACCAGAGTTTCTACGGACTGGTCTTCTTGGCTGTGTGATAGAGGGGAAAATCTTTGTACTAGGTCTCTACGAAGACCGCCTCCGACAGAAGGTAGAATGGGTCGAGCATGGGCAGGAGATTGTTGAACATCGCTACTTCTTCGTCCAACACATGATCGTCAGTATTCTCAAGAACTTGCCCAAGATACATGACTGCACTGCCTTTGATGTGTTTGTCAATGACGAACATCTTCCGATCGTTGTTTTGGAGTCATATGCAGCGTCGACCGCGCCAACAACTTCGGGTGGTCCACCTCGGCAACTGGATTCCGTGCTCCTCGAATCTCTGGCGGAAAGGTGTATGGAAGTGTTGTATCAAGAGCACCACTTGCGAGTCTTTTGTGTGCTTCTCACGGCGCCGAACACACTTCCCCGTGTGACTAAGAACGGACGCCGGGAGATCGGTAATATGCTCTGTCGCAGGGAATTCGATGCCGGTACTCTGCCCTGTGTGCATGTGAAGTTCGGTATTGAACGCTCGGTCATGAATCTGCCGGTTGGTGTCGACCCTGTTGGGGGAATCTGGTCTCCCTTGGCTTCGGCGGCACGGCAAGAGATGCTTGCCATGCAAGAAAAGCAGTACTCGGGTGTGGATTACCGCGATGTCGTGATGGATGATCGCACTTCCACGCCTTTGAACAACTTCGCAACGATTGTGGACCTTCTCCAATGGCGTGTCTCTCGCCAGGCAGAGGAGCTGGCTTACTGCTCAATCGACGGCCGTGGAAAAGAAGGCAAAGGTATCACCTGGAAGAAATTCGACTTGAAAGTCGCCGCTGTAGCGATGTATTTGAAAAACAAGGTCAAAGTTCGACCTGGAGATCATCTTATCCTGATGTACACGCACTCAGAAGATTATGTCTACGCCGTGCATGCCTGCTTCTGTCTCGGTGTCGTTGTCGTTCCCATTGCTCCAATCGACCAAAACCGGCTAGCAGAAGATGCCCCTGCATTTCTCCATGTGATCAATGATTTCAAAGTCAAAGCAATCATTGTCAATAGCGACGTTGACCACGTCATGAGACAGAAACTCGTTTCCCAGCATATAAAACAGTCTGCACAGGTCCTCAGGATCGGTGTGCCTGCTATCTACAATACCAGCAAACCATCGAAACAATCTCATGGCTGCCGAGACCTTGGCTTTACTGTCAAAGAAACTTGGTTACAAGCTGACCAGCCAGCTCTAGTTTGGACTTATTGGACACCGGATCAGAGGAGAATCTCTGTGCAAATTGGCCATGACACCATCTTGGGAATGTGTAAGGTGCAGAAAGAGACATGCCAGATGACTAGCTCGAGACCAGTCCTAGGCAGTGTTCGCAGCACATTAGGTCTTGGATTTCTTCATACGGTCTTAATGGGCATCTACGTTGGTAAGAGAACGCGCAAATATGGCTGCAAAGCCCTTCCATGTTAACCGGTTATTAGGAGCTCCTACCTACCTTGTATCGCCTGTTGACTTTGCGCAAAATCCCATGACATTGTTCGTCGCCTTGTCTCGTTATAAGATTAAGGATACATATGCCACTAGCCAGATGCTGGACTACGCTATGAGCGTCATGCCTGCAAAGGGTTTCCAGCTTCAAGAAATGAAGAACCTGATGATCTCCGCAGAGGGTCGGCCACGAACTGATATCTGTAAGCTCCGCGACTCATCTCCCCCGTCCTATTGTTCTCAATCTCATACTTTGACAGACCAAAAAGTGCGCCTTCATTTCGCATCCGCGAGTTTGGACCGCACCGCAATCAACATAGTATACTCGCACGTGCTCAACCCTATGGTCGTCACTCGATCATATATGTGCATCGAACCGATTGAACTGTGGCTTGACCTTCGTTCTCTCCGCCAAGGGCTTGTTTGTCCCGTTGATGCAGACACAGATCCCACGGCGCTGCTTGTCCAGGATTCAGGGATGGTTCCGGTAAACACACAAGTAGCTATTGTGAATCCGGAGACCTGTACCTTGTCACATGTCGGCGAATATGGCGAGATATGGATTCAATCAGACGCCTGCGCCAAGGCGTTTTATGGATCCAGGAATGAATTCGATGCTGAGCGATTCAACGGCCGGATCGTGGATGGAGACCCTAACGTTGCCTATGTGCGCACCGGTGATCTGGGTTTCCTTCATACCGTCACTCGGCCCATCGGTCCATCTGGTCAATCTGTCGAGATGCAGGTGCTCTTTGTCCTTGGCGGAATTGGCGAAACGTTCGAGGTCAATGGATTAAATCATTTCCCCATGGACATCGAGAACTCTGTGGAGAAGTGTCATCGCAACATTGTGTCTGGAGGATGGTAAGCGATCAAGAGTCTTCACCATTCTTTTGAACTGGTCTTGTGCTAACGCTCGCAATTTAGTTGTGTCTTCCAGGCCGGTGGTTTGATAGTGGTTGTCGTCGAGGTGACGAGGAAAGCGTATTTGGCATCCCTTGTCCCCGTGATCGTGGACGCCATCCTCGGTGAACATCAAGTCATAGCTGACATAGTGGCGTTCGTGTCTCACGGAGACTTCCCTCGGTCTCGTTTGGGCGAGAAGCAGAGAGGAAAAGTGTTGGCATCATGGGTAACCCGCAAATTGCGCACGATCGCGCAATTCAGTATTCGTGATATGGAGGGATCAATGAGCCTCTTTGCAGAAGCTCCCCAACATCGTTCCAGTAAAGGCTCGAAACCAGGTAGCATCATGGGCAACAGCCTGCGTCGGTCAACTCTCGTACCGGACGCTGATTCCGCTACTATTCCTCGTTCTCCAGCTCCGGTGCTTGTGGAGCAGCCGGAAGCATCAATGCTGCCTCCTTACCATGACATACATGAAGGAGAGGGAGCTGAAATGCCTGCGCCAACGCTTACAGACGTGCACCCGTCTCTTCCTCAGATAGGGGAACCTGTCCCACCAATGCGGTCTTCGAACAATGAAAGTCACTCGACAGGCATTGCTCACCCTGACCTTGGTTTCAATTTCGGCGATTTTGCCAATGCGACGAGCTCTGCTCCCATGGATGAACACACCGGTGCAGGAGCTGTCAGTGAAGTTCTTCCCTACCGCGATGTCCGTGGACAAGGCTCCATTCCCGCCCAACAGCCGCCGAGAACCAGCAGCCTCCCAGTCGGCACCGCCCCATCATCCGGTCAACCCCAATCACCGGACCATATTTCAGAAGACAAAATGGGGGACTGGCCGCAGGAAGCTTTGATGTATCAGTCGGCACTTGGGGGTGACGACCCATACGGTCATAGTGCCGTCAATCGGTCTCCGAGCGATGCTATGAGGAACCACCATGACTGAAAGCAATAGCAGATACTGTAATTGTCGTGAGAATTTCCGCGCCGATTATTGAATATCTCTACTGCACATCGGATTCCGTGCTTTATTATTCCCCAACCTCTCCCCTATGTCATTCTGTTTTATGCTGATCTATCGTCCTACATTTTGCATTGCCGCTTGCCTTACATGCTCTTGACTCTGATCATCACCTTTGCTGCTTTACAGTTTCTGATTCTTTGCATGTGACGAAGCATTCAATACTCTACATTTCTGCCTAACCCAACCGTCATGATGAACGATACGTCATGTTTTGTACATACATACCCACCCATATGCGCGCCTTTATGCCAAAATATTGTTGCTCGCTTTGCCCGTGCACAGATCCTCGATAGATATAGACCACGCTTGCCTCGCATTGCTTGTGTCTGTCTACATTTGACATAAATGCCGCATTGTACATAGTCCATATAGTGTCTAGCCGTAATACACCGCGTTTACATACAATATGATAATAATGCTCCACGACGAGCTGCTGTACATGATGAATTACCAACACGAAGGCTGAGATTTCGGTTAACTTGATATACGGAGTGCGTCCTTACACAATAGTAAAACTGGTCCACGGACACCAAAACCGAATAAGAGAGAGAGTATGTTCAATCTGTACAATTGAATTATGCATTGAATAGCCTTGCTTTTAGCCTCTAGTTTTCTTTTTCCCTCCTTCGCTACTCGGCACCTTTTTTGAAATGTGGGAACCGCCGATCGAGACGCAGAAAAGCTTCGAAGATACGCAGAACACAAACGCATTACTGGCTGTTCGCCTTAGCAGTCAGCGCGTCCAGATCAACCTTGGGCTTGGCATTGCCGTTGGTTGGGAGCTTCGCGGCTGTGATGGCCGCCGCGTTGGAGTCGCCGAGCTGCTCGAGGGCTTGCAGATCCTCGTCTGTGAGGGTGTTGGAGCGTTGAGGGCGGAATGGAGCGGGGGAACCGGCACGACTTGTAAGGAACTGTATGAAAAAACTATTAGAGATGATGAATCTTTTGAGGGGGGAAAGGGCCATAAGAAACGTACCGAGGAAGCTGCGCTGAGGAGAGCGATCAAACTGGCTTGTACCACGTCCTGGTGGATACCAATACCCCAGACTTGCTCTTTGCTGCCGGCCGCAGTGCACTGGAGGTATGTGGCGGCCTTCACGTCTCTACCGAGACCGATCGAGTGCTCCTTGTAGTCGATGACATCGAGGTCGATACCAAGAGTCGACAGGGCGTTCGCCAGAGACGAGATGGCACCGGGGCCAACGCCAGTGATAGCGTGTTGAATGTTGTCGATCTCGATGATACCGGTGAAGCGACGCTTGAGGTTCTTGGTGTTGAGGGCCTTGCCCGGCTCCGGTGGCGCCGGCGACTGTGACCGGTCGGTTGTGATGTTGTAGTCGACCAAGTTGAAGCGAGGGTTCGACTTGAGGTGGTACGCTTCCTCGAAGAGGTCGACGATTTCCTTGGGCCGCAGCTCCCGGTTGACGGCTTCGGTCTGCTTCTGAACGATCTTGCTGAATTCGACCTGCAKAGCGCGCGGGAGATCCAGCTCCAGACTGCGCAGGATGACCCAGGCGGCACCACCCTTGCCGCTCTGGGAGTTGACACGGATGACAGCCTCGTAGTTCCGTCCGATATCCTGAGGATCCAGGGGGAGATACGGGATGACCCACTCGTCGTCGTCGGTGGCGTTGGCACCTTCACGCAGCTTGAATCCCTTCTTGATAGCATCTTGGTGACTGCCGCTGAACGCGCAGACAACCAGCTGACCACCGTAGGGCCATCTTTCATTCACGGGAATCTTGTTGCTCTCTTCCACCACCTTGATAACCGAGTTGATATCCGAGAAGTCAACTTGAGGGCTGACACCCTGTGTGTAGAGATTGAGGGCGAGAGTGACCAGATCAACGTTACCGGTTCTCTCACCATTTCCGAAAAGAGTACCTTCGACACGCTGAGCACCAGCCATCTGAGCCAGCTCGGCGGCCGCAACAGCACAGCCACGGTCGTTGTGGGGATGCACAGAGACAACGAACTTCTCTCTCTCCGTCATGTTGCGGCAGAAATACTCAACCTGGTCTGCGAATACGTTTGGCGTCGCCATCTCCACTGTTGCTGGCAGATTAAAGATTATGGGGTTTTCTTCAGTAGGGCCCCAAGCAGCCTTGACGGCTTCGCAAATCTGGACTGCGAACTCAGGCTCGGTGTCGGAGAAGGTTTCGGGGGAGAACTCGAACTGCCACTGGGTACCAGCCATCTCTGGGTCGTCCTTGGTTATCGAGCGGGCGTACTTGGCGCATCTTACGGCAATCTCAAGACTCTGTTCGCGGGTGGTTCCGAAAACTATTCGGCGGAAACACGGGCTGGTAGCCAGGTAGATGTGGAGGATAGCCTTCTTTGCGCCTTTGAGGGAATCGACAGTGCGGCGGATGAGTTCTTCTCTGCAAGGAGACAGGACCTGGAGCCAGACATCGTCGGGAACGACTCCTGGTGTCTCTACCAGGCGCCGAGTGAAATCAAAGTCCGTTTGCGATGCCGAGGGGAATGATACTTCGATTTCCTTGTAACCGATGTCGACGAGCATCTTGAAGAACCGGAATTTCTGATCACCGTCCTATATACATCTATACGTCAGAGGCGTCCAGAAAATTTGAACGAGATCCTCACCATCGGATCGGGCAGACTCTGGTTGCCATCTCTCAGATCAGTGGCCAGCCAGCGGGGCGGCTTGTCGATAACCTTATCAGGCCATTGGCGGTTAGGGAGATGTAGAGGCTTGAAGGGCTTGTATTTTTTCGAGGGATCCTTAAGCCTATCAAAACGAGTCAATAAAAGAAGCTCAAATCCGAATCGCTATTTGAGGAGTTGGAGTAAACAACAAAGGCTCAGGGGCAGAAGACATACATAGGCATGATGGCGGTATCGTGCGGTGTCCGCAGCGGGGGAGGGGAAGAAGGTAGAGAAAGTTACTTCAGGATAGTGTGGCCAGAAGGAGGAAAGGGAAGACCAGACAATTAGCAGATAAAAGGTGCCTGAATGACACTAAACGAAAGATTTAACGATCAAAGAATGATATTTAAGTAGAGGGAGAAATGTGGACGAGAGAGTTTGACGAGTGAGTCAGTACCTAGTATCTCCATCGTTCAATAACAGGTCATGACGCTCTCTCGCCGCCTTTCACATATTTTTTCGTCGATCCGCCGACAGCGGACGCGGGGGCCCTAATTTGCAACTCTGATTGGCCAGAGGCTCGAGGGGGCCTCGCATAGTGGATACTTCAGGTATATAAAAGTCCAGAGGCCACTGATGTTGGTGTCGCAATTGTTGCAGGTGTGTTCGGCAAGTGGCGATAGGCTGATATTTTCAGCTCCTGAAGCGAATCGAATGCGACTTTTTGTCCAGGTTATGAAATCTTTTCCAGCCGTTCTATTTCTCCTGATGCTTGTCTATGCAGTGAGCTGGAATTTATTCTACTCAATGCGGGGGCCGATGATCGGAGACAATTATATGGGCCTCAGGCCATGAGGCCCATGGCCCCACCGTGGTTAACCGCCAGTAGCCGTTGACTGAGACTGAAACGATTCAGTCATGCCCTACGATAGAGGACTTGAATAGCTTCGATCTGAGTCACTTTGGAGAGGGCGGGATGTAGATGAGTGGATATATACGGCCGCTCTATGTAAATGTAAAGACTGATGTACCAAAGGCCTTGAAGAGATATTCACAACCTATATTAGGTTCTGATGCAATTCTGTACACAATTGATGTAGTTCCCTCCTCATTTATTTCCCTTCATCTTGTTCTTACTCTTCTTGTCACTTTTGTTCTTACCCCCCTTGTTCTTCCCTTGCTTGGGAGCCTCTCGGTCCGCCTTGCCCTTCTTCCAACCGATATTCCCCTCGTGACGCTGGCGCGCATCGTCAAGCCGTTTCTTGTCCTTGTTGCTCAGCTTCACTTTATCCTTCTTCGATGGCCCGTTGAGCTCCGTAGCGCCCAATTTGCGCGCCGCACGCTTGTCCCGTTCAGTCTCGAACCATGTGCGCTTCGGCCGCGACATGATCTCGGCTTCGTGCTTCATCATATTCTCCCCCTTGGTCACTTGCATCTCCGCCTGTGCCATTTGCTTCTCTAACTTCTCCTCCTGTAACACTTCCTCGATCTCATCTTCCAAGCCCTTGGCCTTAGCGGCCCATTCGTCCGCAACGGATGGGTCAACGACGCGGCTGACAATCTTGGCCCCTTGCGCTTTGCCGGCCCTGACGGCCGACTTGACGATCTTGCGGTCCGGCTCGGCTGCAATGGTACATGCGCGTCCGGAACGGCCCGCACGCGCTGTTCGACCAACACGATGCAGGTAAATCTCGTGGCTCTGAGGCGCTTCGTAGTTGATGACCGTTTCGACACCCTTGATATCCAGACCACGGGACGCCAAATCAGTAGCCAGAAGGAAGGCTACTTTGCCTTCTCGGAAGTTCTCGACACTTTTGATACGCTGTAGTGCTGTTTAGTCCCATCTCAAGTAATTATCTCAGCTCATAGGTTGACATACCTGTTCTTGGCTCATGCTACCATGAAGCTCTGCCGCTTTGAGTCCCAATAGCGAAAAGACAATGCGAACCCGATGGGCCTCGCGCTTCTGGCGGAAGAAGACGATAACCCGTCCAGTGTAGACTTCGTTGCACAGGTAAAGGAGATACCCCAAACGCTTGTCCTCTCTACCTGGCCGTAACCGCACGAACTCCTGGGTCAGGTTCATGGAGGTATTCTTCTTCGAGTCGACCATCAAGCGAACTGGACGGTTGAGGCCAACCCGAATGAGCTTGTCGACGGAATCGGTCATTGTAGCCGAAAAGAGCATTGTTTGCCGCGACTTGGGAATGGTTGTCAAGATTTCGTTCAGTTCGTCAGCGAAACCATCTTCCAACATTCGATCGGCTTCATCAAGAACCAAAATCTCCAGAGTGTCCACAGTGAAGCTGGGGGAATTCCGCATGTGGTCGATAAAACGACCAGGAGTAGCAATGATTACATCGGGCCGCTTTTTCAAGATATTCTCCTGCTCGCGAAGACTGAAACCACCGACAAGTTGACAAAAGGTAACATCAGTATGAGTAGCCAGTTTTGTAGCCACATTGTAACACTGAACCGCCAGTTCACGAGTGGGCATAAGGATGGCAACACGACTGGTGGGGACTTTTCGAGGGCGGAACAGCAGACGCTCGAGAATGGGAACAACAAACGCAGCAGTCTTTCCGGAGCCAGTAACGGCACTACCCACGATGTCTTTGCCAAGGAGAGCCACGGGGATCGTCTTTTGCTGGATGGGAGTCGGCGTGGTGAAATTGACAGATGCGAGACCACGGAGGATGGGTCTAGACAGATTGAAGTCCTGGAATGATCGATTGGAAGTCGACGAGGTTGTAGATTTTTCTTCAGGAGCAAAGAAAGCCTTGCGCTTCTCTGCTTCCTCAGCGTCAACCTCGCTCTCCGCTTCAGATTCCTCGTCAGAAGCTGCTTCGTCATCCGGATGGTGTACTGGAGTCGCAACTGAGTCGTTATCGGAAGCAGCATCATCATCATCATCATCATCATCCTCCTCGTCCTCGCTGCCCTGTTCATCCGCATCGTCGCCGTCATTGGAGTCGTTCTCCACATCGTCGCCGCTCTCATCCGCACCATCGGCACCCATACCAAACCCGTCTGCAGCAAGCAATTCATCGTCCTGAAAGTCCACAGACATACCACCATCAGAGTCGGCATCTTCATCTTCGCTCTCCTCTCCTTCCTCCTCCCTCCTCTTTTTCTCCTTCTGCTGCTTCTTTTTCAGCTCGGCCTCTTTCTTCGCTTTCCTCCTGGAAATGATATCATCAATATCCACGGCCTTCTTATCCCCATTCTTCGCCGCATCCGCTGGTCCATGTCCATTCCGCGCTTCCCACCCATCAAATCCCTCGATCACGCCGGTATTAGCATTGCCGCCAACGTCGAACTCGAACTCCGAGTCCAACGCTCCATCATCCTCACCAGCATCCATAGCGTCAGCCTCATCCTCTTCGCCGGATTGTTCGTCAGAGACTGCTCCAGCAGCGCTTTTGCCCTTCTTGCTTTGCTTCAATTGCTTCTGCTTCTTGTTCTTGCCTTTTGGTGTCTCCGCCGCCTCTCGTTTGCGTTTCTTCGAGCTGGAAATACTGTCTTCCTCGGCGTTGTCACCGCCTTCCTCAACACCGTCCTCAAGGACATCGTTCTCGTCGTCCGATAGTGTGAGCACGAAGTCGTCATCTTTGACAGCAGTCCGCTTTTTTGTCGTGGCATTGGGAGCCATTTTTCTAGCAGGCCGACGGTCGATTGGTCGTCGAAGTGCAAAGGGACGAGTAGAAGACTGCAACACTTCTCACAGAACAAGTGAAATGATGTAGAGGATCTCAAACCACCACTGTTTTTCCTCCCAGGACTACTGGCTCTATCTGCTTTCTCTTGAGCGGAGAGGAAAGAAAAAAGTTCAAATTGCGAAGGCGGTGAGGCTCAAGCGCAGCAGAAAATACCCGCAAACTTGTTCTGTAACTCTGATTGGCTGTCAACTGAAAGCTGCGCATTTATTTTTTATCATGGTTGTCTTACTAAGCTCCATATCAAACCTACCTTACTATTATCTAGCTTACCACCCATGTCCAAGCACACTGATTCAATACTTCCAAAGAGATACTTTTATTTCTTTCCCTAATTGATTATGAGCCTCTGTATATTAAGAGAGTAATAGGATGTCCATTGCTATGGGATATTAAAATTTCTTTTCTTGAACTACCACTGTTCTCCTCAACTTTGCTAGACTCCAAGCCTGATGAGAGAGACAAGGGGTCACAAAAAAGGTCCTTAAGATGAGATGACGAGTAAGGACAACTCAATATGCAGAACAAGAAGATGACACCCACACAAGCTCCAGAAAGGTTATCCCCTTCAAGCATGAAACGCATCACCATCGTCGTAACCAGCTTTGCGAATAAGGTAGCTGACATCGAGACTATGAGAGCGTTTTGGTAAGTCTAGGGCTCATGTGATCAATTATTCAATGAGGGTTCACTTACAATCGCTCGAACTTGACTCGAGCTCCCTTGAGCACGCCTTGCTCTTCAAATTGATAATCCCTTTCAAGCCAGTCGACGAGCCACTTTATCTGGGACCGCTCGGAAACCGGATAGCTGATGGTAAAGGCAAGGCGTTTGAGAGTTCGGGAACCGCCTGGGTAAAGGCCAGTCTTGTCATCGCAACCGGCATCGTAAAAGAAGCCCCTTTTGGGAACATAAGTAGCGTCACACACTTCGATGAGTTTGTCCAAGAGACATTTTCCGATGCCTCGGCGTTTATGGTCCGGCTTGATAAAGATCTCTAGCTCCACTGTGTAGCGTCCGGTGGTCTGAAGCCCCAAGGAATCTGTAGCCAAAGCATATCCGAGAATTCTTTCTGGGGAGTCGTCGGCGGATGGTCCGCGTCTGCGCTCTGCAGCCACAATAAATGGCAATTTTGCACGTCTGCTATCCTCAATTCGTTGGCGCACATCTTGTTCGTCAAGCGTTCCTAGGCTTGAACTCAAGTTTGACTTTTGGCTATACCAATTCAAGATCATGAGCAATCCTGGTACGTCGCCGTCTTCAACAGAGCGAAGATAGACGTTTGCTCTAGGACTGTTTGGATCCTTTGGAGAACAGACCTTCAGACCTTCTATGAAGGCATCTCGAGCTTGTTTCCTGCGCGTCCTCGCCTCCTCTTCTGCTGCTTTCATATGCAATGCAAGGTTATAGCAATAGCCTTCGGCAGTTTCATGATAATGGAGACGTGTCGCTTCATTAGTCATGTCCAAACGAGTTGGGACATCTCCCAAGTCAAGAATATGCAAAGATTCGACCCCATCCATATGCGCAGTTCCATCAAAAAAGGCTTGGTGGTGGATGTCAATGTTGCAGCTATCGCTTGTCTCCATCTCTAGCCAATGACGGAACCAATCACGAAAGCCTTCATAGGTAGAGCAAGCACGAGGACGCATTTCCCACCTGTCCTCCCACTTAACCTTAGAGCAGTGCTCTGGTGTATGGCCCTCATCCTTATTGCTAGTCTGGCGGTGAGTATTCGATGGAGTTATCTGAAGACGTTCATGCTCCGCACTTGGATAGCGAGAGAGAAAGATCTGGCCATCAACGATGGCCGGATACACGGACATGCTGTTGTGATAAGATTCACGCTGAGCGTCAAGTCTCGCAGCGTAAAATTTCTGGACTCGAGCCCTGATTTCATCGACGAAGTATCTATCATCCAGGTCCCCTTCAAACTCGTCCTCTGGGATAGACCTAGGGTTGGAAGAAGTTTCATTTGGATTGGCTGCAAGCCTACACCTTGCGATGCTCTTGTAGACATCTGATTTTGGATCGGTTCCCGGCCCGTCCCTGCATTTCGCAAGGCTCTCTGGATTTGCTGTGTCATCTTCATGGTCTCGGTAACGATTGAGATGGGCTTGCAAAACAATCTCTTCTTGAAGGCGCTTTAACTCATCTAGAGCCTCTTGAGATGGAGCCTTGTTTGCGGTCTTTGGCACGCCGGATGAAATTTTGATCTGGCGGCCAACATCGTCCTGCGGAGTTTGGTTTTCCAACTCAGCAGGTCTGTTTGGTGTCCCACTGGGATTCTGCCTCGGTACTTGCTGTGTTGTTCCTGAACGAGCCCTATATCGGGAACCGCTGTTCAGATGTGCGCTTCCGCCCCGAACCTGTCTTTGACTGCGACCTTTGAAATTGGCCCCTCGATGCATGACGACTTCGTCGGATCCATTGCTGTCAGTCTTGTTTGGACGGTCTCCTACTTGATCTGACTGCTAGTTAGCTTCCTGAAGCTCGATCTTTGGCCAAATCAAGAAAGAAGGATCACGTGTTACTCACCCATATTTGTATTTCCATGTGAAGGAAGTGACATCTCAGCTGTGTTAGCGTTGATAACTTGACTCAATTTCGATCTCTTCTGTGGGGTGTGAAGCCGGTGCGAGAGGGGAGTGGAAGCTGGTGCTCTGCTATGGAATTTCTTAGGTCGCCAGTCAAACCGCGGGCGTGTTCTGTAACTGCCTGAGGCCTCCTTATCTTCCTCTCTTGCACTTTGTCTGTGGTGCAGGGCTTCAGAAGTAGGAATAGAGGGTCCCTGAATTCTCAGAACTAAACAAGCTGGGGATTTTGAGGACTCGGCGTTATCCAGTCTCTCTGAGTTATCTTGGGACGCTCTGAGGTCGTGTGTTGTAGAGTGAATAGTGATCTGCCCGTCCGTTGGATTTGAATTCGAGAAACCAGGAGCCCGATGGTGGTCGTCAACCTGAGTCTTAGGAGAGTCTGTCTTTTTTGGACTTCTCTTTCTGAAAGCACGAGCCTTTGCGAAGGTTGAGGGGAGAGTGTTTGGGGCTTGAAGCCCAGACTCAGGAGAGGCAGGATCTTGCTGGGAATGAGTTTTCGACTTATTGGGCCTGCGCCTGCTTAGGGCATTTGGCTGACCGTGACGAGCTTGTCTCTCCATGGCGGCTAGTCGTCAAGGAATGGTGTGGATGACTTGAAGAGAATGTTCCGGACCAGAAGATGCGAATATCCTGAGTCACCTTACATAGGGTGCATGGGGGGAAGGTAGGTCTTAAGCGATAGTTAGGGCAAGTTCAGTTTGGAGTGAATATGAAGTGAAAGGAAAACGGGTGTTTCCTGCTGAGTTACTGGTGGTAACAAACTGTAGTGAAATAAGCACTTGTCTATAAAGTCCCTAACAGATTATGATGTGGGCTTATGATTAATGACATGGGTTCATAACACTCTTTGAGACACTGATATATTTGCTAGTCCTAAAAAGTTATTACAGTCACAAGTGAGGTCAATTTGAGGTAGGATATGAGAAGGAGTATAGGGCTTCTCAGGTAGAAGAGAGTTTCAGAAAGCATCTGTACACTCCCACAAGCACAGCAAAAAATGACAGCAAGGTAAAATCAAATTAGAAGTAAGCTTGTAATGAGTATTGTCCACATTGAATTGAATGATATACAAACTTGTTGGGATTGCCCTGCTGGATTAGCTCTATTTCTGACCGATCTCTATATTTCGCCCATATATAGGCGTTTTATCCAACTACAACTAAGCCAACGCAACAGACTCGAGAGGACACATTTGGCCAAAATGCTGTCAATTCTGAGGAAAGCTCGCTTAAAAGACAAAGAGATGAGGATTCTGATGCTGTAAGCATTTTGGAGCCCAAAAAAAGAATCGATCTCATGCTTACCATTCATGATCGATCTTAGTGGCCTTGATAATGCTGGGAAGACGACGATTGTGAAGCAAATTATGAAGGAAGATGTCACAACTGTCAGCCCTACACTGGGATTTATTATCAAAACAATAGATTTTGAAGGGTAATTCCAGCCCTAAAGACCTCGACCACCTTGATGACTGACTCCGGACACAGATATAAATTGAACATATGTGAGAGAAGCCAACAGTCAAACTCCGCAAGGAACTTGTATTGACTTTTTGCCGCCAGGGGACGTCGGGGGACAGAAAACCCTGCGGTCATACTGGAAAAACTACTTTGAGAAGACCGACACACTTGTCTGGGTGGTAGATGCAACAGACCGTCTTCGAGTTGATGATTGCCGGGATGAACTCGCGGGCCTACTCCTCGAAGAGGTACGGTTGCCAATTTCCCCGCTCGCCTGCAAATTTTCGTTGATGAGCACCGGTTTGGCTAACACCCTCCAGCGCCTGATGGGAGCAAGTCTCCTGATATTCTTAAACAAGACAGATGTAGAGGGATGTATGACGGAAGATGAAGTCCGTGAAGTAAGTTGCTGTCGCGTCTTGATATATTTGTTGGGCTCTCCGGACATCTACTGACCTCCCTCCAGCGGCTTCGCCTGGATTCAATAAAGACCCATAAATGGACTATATTGCCGTGCAGTGCTATGACAGGCAAGAATCTCCGTGAAGGCCTACAATGGGTAGTGCAAGATGCAAAAGACAGACTTTTCCTCTACTGACCCTGTCTCTACCCGCTTCTGCCCATTATGCTTGAGCGACTTGGAGTTTTCAACTCCAGTACAGATTTACGTTGTTGATGCTTCTTGAGTCAGATCAACCTTCAAAAATTCATTGATATCAGTAATGCTAAGATGAAATGAGCCTGTCGTTTTTCGATCCAGCAGACACACTCTGTGTTAGTCTATATATGTGTCTGCAACCAACCATTTAGTTGTCTCTTAAGCTTTGAAGAAAGTCATGCCCTCATTCTGTTATTTTCTCCCTCAGATCCCGTAGTATT